ACCCATCAAATCCATACCTCTCCAGTTTAGAGAGAAGGATGTTGTGGGGGACCGTGTCAAAGGCCTTACAGAGGTCCAGACAGACGACACCTGTAGCCCTTCCCGTGTCCACTGATGTAGTCACTGCATCATAGAAGGCCACTAGGTTGGTCAGGCAGGACTTGCCCTTGGTGAAGCCATGCTGGCTGTCTCGAATCACCTCCCTGTCCTCCATGTGCCTTAGCATAGCTTCCCGGAGGCTCTGTTCCATGATCTTCCCAGGCACAGAGGTGAGACTGACTGGCCTGTAGTTCCCTGGGTCTTCCTTTTTTCCCTTTTTAAAAATGGGGGTTATGTTTCCCCTTTTCCCATCAGTGGGAACTTCTCCGGACTGCCACGACTTCTCAAATACGATGGATAGTGGCTTAGCAACATTGCAGAATAAAACAGGGCATTTGGCTGCGAATAAAGATCCATGAGTATTACCAGGATTATCGGGGTTAGAACTTAACCATTTTTGAGTTCTCAGGCTTTCACAGACTGTGCAGATTGTCAGGCACATGACTTAGTCTCTCTGTATTTAGCCTCAGGTACTGATTTGGAAGATGGGGGTAAAGATATCGTTCCTATCTTTTTTTTTTTATGTCCTTTCTGTGTTTTAGTATGTAAGTTCTTTCTGGGAAGAAGCTGTTGCCTTTTTTTTTTTTTATTTGAATGCCTCTGAACATGTCTTCATATGATGTTAGGACAGTAACACAATGCAAACAGTGATTCAGTGAAACCCTTGAACTTCTAGCAATGGGCTGTTTCTTTCCTGCGCTGATAATATTGAACCACTAAAAAACTGAGCATTTTACTGGTTGTCTAAGATGCTGCTCTTTTTTCTTTTTTTCTTTTTTGTTCCAAATAGCAAAAAGGAGGAGATGGAAAAAACAGGTTCAGGGAGTAAAGAAGCATCTAATAAAATTCAAGGTTTACCTTTAAACCTGCAGTATCAGAACCATAAGTGCTCTAGTGCATGTCTTGCCAACAGAGCAGCGGGCTCCTACAAGGGTGAAAATCCTCTTAAGATACCAATCCTGTTTCACTTTCAAAGACGCCATGCAAAAGCAGACTGCCTTTCAAAATCACTGGATGTGAATTATAAAGCTCCTTGTGGCCGAAGTCTGAGAAGCTTCCAAGATGTGCAAAATTACCTGTTTGAAACAGAGTGCAATTTCTTATTTGTTGATCACTTCTCCTTCAACACATACGTACTGTTGGGCAGGAACACTGTAAATCCCGAACCCCTCGTGTTTGATGTTGATATTAGCAATGGAGCTGAGTCTGTGCCCGTTTCCTTCTGTAATGATCTTGACCGCGCAAGATTACCTTATTTCAAATATCGGAGGGCATCGTGGCCGCGTGGATATTATCTCAACAATTTCTCCAGCATATTTGTTGATTCATGTGACTGCACAGATGGCTGCATTGATAGGTAGGTAGAAAAATCTAATCCCAGACAAGTGATGCATGATGCCTCAATAGTAGGGTGGTGGTGTAAGTGTGAAGGACCAACGCTGCTGGAATATCTGTGGTAGTTGTCTTGTGTCATACTCTGTGTTGACTGACACCACTGTGTCTTTGTCTTCTCCAGAACTTGGGTGCTCCTACCTGTCCAGCCTCTGTTGTAGGGAAGGAAGCAATCAACAGGTGGATTATTGTGTTCCTTTCCCTTTCTTCCCAAATTGGCAGTGCTTCTCCTCCAGGTGGAGCTGGCAAGCAGATCTCTCTTGCCTTTGGGAAAAGAGTGGGGAAGGGAGACTCTTGTGCTAGTAGAGGAAGGCTCATTTTTCTGGCAGGCAGGGAAGGATCCTGCATGACAACTTCTGCTGCAGCTCCTGCTGTGGGATGGTATCCTGGAGATGGGGTGGGACAGCCTGGAGAGATCAGATCATTTGGGACTTAGAAGATTACTGAGGGCAGAGGAAGAAACATCCCTGTTCACAACCTCTCCATCCCATCCTTCCCCTTGTCTAAACAGAAACTATGAAACTCTGGTCACAGAACACATTTATGTTCTGAGCAGTATAAAAATGTATTATTGATAGCTAGGGCAGTTGCATGTGCTGGTGTGCAGCATAATTGCCTGTGACCTAATAAAAGCTTGAAATCACAGCCTGGTATAATGAAGCTTCAGTAATTATTTAGTTTCAGCTGAGCGGTGGGGAACAGCAAGCACATGGCATGCTGCTTCTTTGCACTGAACTCCCCCAAGAGTTGAGATGCTTTTGATGTGCGGTTTTGGGGTTCAGGATTTGGTCCGTTGCTGTTTGCACAAACGCTGTCGGTCTTTGGAGTTGTCATGACATAAGATGGTGAAGACTAGCATTGCTTGAGTTCTCCAGTCCGCAGTGTGAAATTCTTCACTTCCTGCGGGTTAGGGTGGGAGAAAGGTAACGAAGTAGTGGCTAGCAGGCTGGGATGCTGTGCCGGAACAGGTGATTTTCATTCATTCATTCAATCCATTTGACAGTGTCCTGTTTATAATAAATTTCTGTCGTACTTCAGCTGTTTGCATGTGCCTTTTACAGAGCTTGGCAGAAGAATGGGGTTGGGAGAACGTGATTATTGTAAACCACGCATAACCAGGCAAGAGACAAAGAGAAGGGTAGGGTGCCTGAAATGGCCTTGTGGAGTAAAAGTGGGGGGAAAAATATAGGTATATATATAAAAGTATGTGCGTGTGTGTGTACAGTGAAGTACATTTTAAATTATCTAGATTTATGTTTGATTTATGCTGCCCCAAATACCTTCTGAGATGTTTTACTGTTATCTTCTAGGTCAAAATGTGCATGCCTACAGCTAACTGCAAGAGGCTGTAGTAAAATTTCTCTGTCTCCCAGTAGTAAAACACCCCGTGGATACAGTTACAAAAGACTAGAGGGACCTGTTCCTAGTGGGTAAGAAAGACAGAACTATTAACTGTTATTTTATTTGTATGCTCTTATTTTATTCCTGTAGTGTAAGTGCTACAGAACTAAAATAACTGCAGTTTGTGGATTACCGAAGCCTTCTATTTTTGTCACAATTTTACTGACATATCAGGATGATAAAAAATAATTAATGTGACTTGAGTAGTAGGAGAGGGAAAAACACTTCTGTACTGCAGATATTACAATTTTCACAGCTTAGTTCAAGGTCCAAGAAGAGTGTGAAGAGTAATATGTTATTAGCTGGTCCAGGAGCTCAGGCCGTATCTGGCCCACGTGCTGTTACATTCAGGCATGCCAGGGGGAGAAGGGAGAGGGAAAGGAAACCTGCCACAAGGGAAGGAGGTATATCACAAGACCATTACAGCATATATCAGCCAACGAAGTGGGAAGCAGTAGCCATCTTGGTTTTTGCCCTGTATCTTGACCATCCATTTGCTCTGTAGGACCAGAGTCCTAAAGAAATACCAGCCAGCTGCTGTTGCCAGACTTGGTTATGTGTGACTCTTCCAAGAGTCTCCAAAGCTGTCCCAGTGCTGCAAGTGTTTGCCCTATCTGTTATTCAGCTCCCGTGGATTAATATGTGGCCTGGGGAAGATGCCAGTAACCTCAGGTGTTTAGGAAAGGAATTGTGCAAAATAGCTTTCTGCAATAGCCAAGGGCTGAACCCACAGGCTTAAGGAGCCCCTTTCAGTCCTTTGTTGCAGTGTGATGTTAGTTTACGGTTGGCGTGCAGAATTAAAGCTGCCAGTGAACCCAGAAACAAATGGAAAAAAACCCACAATTGTGAATTCTTTTAGAACTATTTCATTAAATCCTAAAACTCATGACAGCTACAGTGAGGTCCGGGCAGACAGGTTGTCTTTGCTAAAATCTGTTCCAGCATAGAATGAGGTGCTTCACAGGGATTTCTGCTTCTGTGTGATTTACTCCTATAACATAAAAAGGTAGCACTTATTTTTCTTGTCTACTTATATCAAAATCTGGCTGACGGACTCTTAAAATTGATGAAACAGCAATCGTGAGCTTCAGTGCACTGCTGCACAATCAGTTTTAGCCAGAGTCTTTATCTTTTCAGTCAACTGCCTTATTATTGCTCAGGAGGGAAATTAATAATAGCAACTTTGTTTTGGTAATGCATTCTTTTATATTGTGTTTTGTTTTGCTTCCTTTTGACAGAATTTATGAGTGTAGTGTGTTGTGCAGGTGTGACAAGATGATGTGTCAGAACAGAGTTGTACAGCATGGCATTCAAGTCAGGTTGCAAGTGTTCAACACAGAGAAGAAAGGATGGGGTGTCCGCTGCCTAGATGATATCGACAAGGGGACATTTGTTTGTACTTACTCAGGTAACAGAAGGTGACCTGTGGAAGATGTATAGCATAATTCTCCCTCTCCTGTGGCCTGTGCCCTGGAATTTTTTTGAGAACCAAACAGGGAAATACGGGGTTGGAAGAGAAGTGAGTCAATATAATCTTAACTTGCAAGATGATCAAACGGACAGAAGAACCTTGAAGAACTCTGCAATGCGATGGTGCCAGACAAACAGCCAAAACATTCTGGAGCAAAGCCTGTCTCAGACTCTTGATTTTTCCCTCACAGGTCTGTGCATCCCGTGCCAGGGCTAGTTTTCCTTCAGTATAAATGCATTCATATTTTGCTTTCCCAAATAATGTTCTTGTATTTTTTTAATGTAAGTTTGAGCTGCGATAGTGAGTGTGACCCATCTTAGCAAACAAACAATTTAAAAAAAAAACCAAACCTTTTCTTTTTCTTCCAGGCAGATTAATGAGCAGAGCTGAAGTTCAAGTATTGGGAGATGGCAGCCCAGAGCTGAAAGAGGAGAGCGCTGTGAATGACAGATGCCATGGCTTTTTTTCCAAAAAAAGAAAACTTGACACTGATTGTTCAGACTCTGTGGTTGAACTAGTGCAGACTGGCAAAAATTACATTCTTGAGAAGCAGGAATCTTTGTCTCAGGCTGTGGATAATGAAAATAAATCAACCCTGTAAGTTTACCAAAGCAAACTTAAGCATAACAAAACTAATACTCTGCTATTCTAGAAAGTCGTTTGTAAAACTTAGAGTAGAACTGAATGTCCTCAGCTGAGGGTGGGGGGTTTTTAACTTTTTTGTTAATTCCTGATTATTTCTTCCAGTGGGACAGAGTTTTTCCCTCTATATTAATTTTACTTAACTGTGTGTACCACTTGGCATTTTCTAGAAATCCAGTTCATCTCCTGGGTGTATTTAATCTGTTCAGGGCGTTAATCATTATGCTAATTTGAAAGAATTAATAAAAGATACTTGAGATAAATGATTTAAACATACTTCATGACACTGAAGGGTTTGGTAACAAATTAGCCACTAACTGTCCTGTCCTTTGCTCCCAGTCTCTAAACCTCTTGTTCTTTGTAACATAACCTTTCCTGCTAGGAGTATTAACCTTTCCCGTTAGGAGTCTGACAACACCTCGCTTTTGCAGTGAATTATGCAAAAGTTCTGGTCTTGTTTTCATTTTACAGTCAGGGTCTCATAGCCTATCAGGATTCCTAAAATAAAATTACTACAAAATAACCACGTGGCTTTGTCAGTAGCATGCTGTGGTCTTTTCAGAAGGAAGTTGGGAGCTTGTTTTCTTAAACTTAATTCCTTGCTCTGCCACACTACTTTGTAAACACTCTCTTTGTACTACTCATACACGATTGCAAATTCTTACTCATTTCGTAGTAGAAGACTATTGTGGATCTTTGAGAAGCACCATGAAATTGCAGATGGAAACTCCTTAAAATATCTGCCAAGATATTTTTACTTGCATTTCGGTAGCTTGGAAACCTAATGAATTACTGATTTTGTAAATTGCATAATTATCAGCAGTCACCTAGATTTTACTTCTACTAAGTGGTGTTACTAAAAATTGCAGGGAAGCACGTTTTAAAGTTGCATTTACTGCACTACTCCCTGAAATCTCATAAATTTCCTCTCTTGAGAATAAAAATGTTTTGCATGTGGGCTGTGTAAAAAATATGACAGACAAAAAGACTGTGTTATTCTGTCTCTTAAGAAATTACAATCCAGTTGATCTGAGAAACCTTTGAGAGGACATCAGTGTGCTAAGCTTGACATGTCATTCACCCAAACAGATTGCCTTTAAAAGGACAAACGATGTAACCATGTAATAATGTCACAAGTTCTTGTGGCTACTGCACCTTTTGAATTTACAAAGGGGTTTAAATCTTAGGAAAGCCTTAAAGAGTAGCATTTGTTTCCATTATCAGTAGCCCAGAGAAGTACCATGATGTTTTCCGTGGAACGAAAACACATATAAATGTTTTAGGTAGAAAGTTTTCTTGAATAAGAGCTGTTAACTTATTGCTAGACATTGTACAGATATTAAGATTGGTTTTGAAATGAGTGTTTTCTACTGCACTCTGAATGTAATCCAAATGAATGGGATTTTAGATGTTTTAAATGTATACGCCAGATACTGCTTCCCGTCCTTCCTCAACCTTCTCCTCATGTGAAGGAGTGAGGTTCTTTTGTGGGAGAGTATCTTCTATATCTGCCATATATTGACTGTCTCCCCCTCTGTGCCCCTTTCTATCCTTTGTTCCCACATCATCTTTACTTTCCTGTTTGAAAGCTGCACTGTCAAAACTGTTGAAAATGGTAGCAGGAGAAAGGCGAAACTCTGTAGGTGCTCTATTTTGAGATGATCTGATATAATAGTAGTAAAACAACAGAGAATTTGGTTCTTGGCAGGAGAACAGGGAAAGGATGTAAAAGCAGCTGTTGATCTCTCAAAAAGTATGAACAATTGTTTTTTTACAAATACTGTTGAGAACCTAACCTAGGTCCTCAATTCTTGGAGGCAAAATAGTCACAGAACTTGGGGCGAGGCCAGACTGCAGGCTCTGTTGTAGTCTGTTCTTTATGAACTAGAGACTCTTAGAGAAATGTGTGTTGTGAGAGTTACTTATGGGTCTTTTTGTCTTATAATTTCCTTTTGACCTTTCTGTACAGGGTTCATCCAAGGAATTTAAGTATTGCAACCTCGAGAAGGCCTGGAACTAGAACAGGTTTTTTTCATAATCACCACCTGAAAATGGTAATAATAATAATAAGTGGCTTTAATAGATCCATTTTTCACTGTGCTGAATATGTATGTTAATTTTGACCTTTTCATCTTATACATTTAAATAGTTCTAATGATCTTTCTTCATGAGATTGTGTCACACTGTGACACACTGACTTAGCACTGAGCTAAGCTGACGTGCTGGAAGCTATACCCCATCCCTTCTCCATTATCAGTCCTTCAACATGTTCCCTGAGACCAGCACTACTCTCACAGCCTTCCCTTCTCCACCCTTCATTTATACTCCAGCTTGAGAGTCTTAAGAAATCGTTCTTCCCCTCCACCCTCTGTCGTAACTGACTGCAGAGTTAGGGGGTCAGAGCGATAATATTTTTGTGATGTCTCCCCAAAGAATGACATAGCAGGGAGAGAAGAAAATCTCAGGAGTTGGATGCAGTTTTCTCATGCAGTGGCACAGTTGGGAGAATTTGATCTGACCTGGGTGTGAAGTGTTGCCTGCAAATACGTGCAAAGGAGGGAAACTGGGGTAAACTTACTCTGTATGTTTCATTGGTTTCATTGCACTTAAGAAATGCACGTGGGATTTTCATGCTAACATTTGGCAGTGCTGTCCATTCTGGAGCTCCCATAACTAATCGCCTTTTTGTGGTGGGAGAGGAGAAATCTTGCCACTTTTGTTCATTTTATTGAAACCGTGTAGAAAACATGTTTGGGCTTTGGTTGAGCAACTTACACCAACATGTTTATATTCTGGTGAAATTGTTGGGACTTAAGCACTTGAATGTTTTGTTGAGTGGGGAGCTCCTTCCAGGTTATTCTGAAGGATAATTTGAAATTAAGATAAATGTTGCATTGCAGTAAATGTATGGACTTTTGAAACTCAGCCATAGCCGTGCATTACAGTAGGTTTGAAACTTCAACCCTAGAGTCCTAAAACCCACCTGCTATCCTGTGTTGACCCAGAGTTGCATACAGCAACAATACATCACAGCCTTTTCATTATCTTTTATTCTGTTTAAAGGAAATTGATACACTGGTGCACAGTGCCAGCTCAGATGAAGATAATAGTTCTCAGATTCATCAGTCAAGCAAAACAAAACTAACCAGTGGAACAAAGAAAGGAAAAGAAAGTAGGTCTGCAGAGCTGTAAATATTGTGCTTTTAGTACACTTGTGCTCCATCAGGTGATAGACTTAAAATGTAGAAAGTGGTCTTTAGATGCAGGCAGGCCTATTCTCAGAGTAGAATGATGTTGTCCATATAATGCTTAGGCTGTCTTAAGAGAGCTCAGCGGTACAGAAATTATTGCTGCCTTGCATATTACAATGCATTAGCTGGTACAGGGCAATCTTTTGCCTGCAAAGTTGAACTTGGGACAGCTTGAACAGTCCTGGCAGCAGCTTCTCAAATACAGTGCAATTGTGGGAAAGTCAGTCTTGCAAATCTTATTGTGTCACACCCAATACATGTTCCAGTCAACAAAAATTGAACAGGATATAATGCGGGACTGGGGGGGCCTCAAGCTGAAGAGGCAGTGTGAAACTGATGCTATTTGCACATGCATCTTGTTTCTGTCTTAATTACAGTTTGTGATTCTCTCGGGAATTAAGGGGGAGAATGACAATAAAATGCTATGTGGAAGAAATCAATTTGGAGTGGGATTTGAGAAGAAGGGAGAGACTAGGTCACTCACAGGAGACTTGAGCAAGTGCTTTAGGCACCGCAGCAGGAAACAGTCATTTGCGGGAGGATTGATGAGAGGCATGGAAAACAGTAGTTGTGTTATGGACTTGTAAATAGCAAGGCAGCTGCGTACATTTTGAAGAACAAAGAAGGGTGGGTGGATAAGAGTTCAGGGCCAAAGAAGGGAAAGGCTTTGGCTTTAAACTAGCATTGAAAAATGACTTGCGTGTCCATTGACAGAATCCACTCAGCAGCAGAAGGAAGAACATCCAATGGAAATTAGACAGACTGAGTCTGCTGACGTGAACAGTGCAGAATGCGAAGGAAAGAGTCTGTCTCTGCAAGGTGTTGATTGTGGCAAGTCAGGTGTGCTGGATGACACATGTGTTGTGGGGCCATCCAAAAACATGTCACTAAAAGCTGACTGCAAAGAGGAAAATCACGGGCAGTCAAAACAAGACGCATTTTGTGAGGAGGCTGATGGTGACAGGACACTTCTGAAGAATGCTAATGAAGAAAATATTTATGTACTGGATGCCACAAAAGAAGGAAATGTGGGTCGTTTTCTTAACGTAAGTCAAAAGTTGCATGTGTTCTCTTAGTTGTCTTAGCTTAAATAAATAAATTATGTATTTGCATAAACTAGAGAGCTTTTGCACATAAGCCATATATGTGGTAGGTGAATGACAAGGCAAGCTATGTGGTGCTCCCTGTACTCTGAAGTGACAGAACAGCAGGTTGGGTCACACCAGCTGTTAGTGCCTCCATAAGATGATGCATGCTACGTACCAGCTGTAGTTTTTGGCACCACTAGGTTCCTGAGTGAAATATTCCCCAGTAATGAGTGACCTCTTTCTCCTGAATTTTTGAACAGCTTTTTTTGGGGGTCCAGAGAGCAAATGGCACATTTTGTTGAATCACAAGCCTTCTCCCAGCCTTGGTTTTTGTTCCCCAACCATTGTAAATTCTAGCTTGTGCTGATTTAGGGTAAGTGTTATGATATCGGAGGAAATTTTTCTACCGTTTAATCATGGGTTCAGAAAGTGGTCTGTCATACTGTGTATGTATCTGCTAAGTAAGTCTCTCAATTTTGACTTGCCAAAAAATAGTAATGAATTACCAAGTACCTCCAAATAAGATGAATGTTTCATAGACGCCACTGCATGTAGTCTGCAAGTAACTTATTTCTCTTCATTGGCATGAATATGGGTCTTACAGCAAAATCCTTGCATGTGTTTAAGCTGTTCTTCATTGCAGAGGTAATATGGTGTTAAGATTAGTAGTGCATCTTGCTGAAACCTTTCTTCTGCATCCATGACCATATGCGTGTTCTACGTGCACCTGAATGACCTTTCACATCTCATATCTCTTTGCCATCATACACAATCATTTGATCTATTGCTTGCTCCCTAGCACTGCTCCCCTGGCTGACAGCAAGATACATCTGTCACATACTGATTATTTGTGGTGCATCCTGAATCAAAGATGAATTCTCACCATAAATTTCTGGAAGACAGCTTGATGAAAGAACTTGGTTTTCCTAGGCAAAAGTACTTTCACAATATGATGGAAATAATACTTTAAAGAGACATAGTTACTGCAAAAATAAGTGGCAATGGCATCGAGTAATAGAGATTCTGTGTGGGCTGGAGAAGGGAAGGAAGAAACTACCTTTACTAGTGACAGATATCTGACACAAAATAGGTTCTTCAGCAGACAATGAGGTGTTCACTGTTTCTAATTCAAATATTCTGTTTTACAGCACAGCTGCTGCCCAAATCTCTTTGCACAGAGTGTGTTTGTAGAGACTCACAACAGAAGTTTCCCATGGGTGGCGTTCTTCACAAACAGGTGAATTTTTGGAAGTTTAATGTTGTTCATTTGAGGCACTAGGAGAAAAAGCAGTGCTCAGTTACTAGGAAATAATTATGCTAAGGGGGGGCAGATGCTTAGAGCATGAAACCATAAAACTACCTTCTTATTGGTGACTTCTTACTGTGCACTAAAGACTGAAGAAATACAGCTGTTGATTATCACTAATGAGTTTTTCTTCAGTTTTGCACTGAAATGTAAAGTGGGGAAGCTTAATTTTGATGTGTCTATTTCAGTGATAATCTTCTTCAGTGGAAAAATAGGTTTAACTCAGCACGGTCATTTTGAAAGCCAAGACTCACTGATCCCAGTGTTGTGTCTCAAGGAATGGCCAGCAGATCTGGGTCCCATAGGGCAGGATTGGACCCTACAGGGTCTTTAAGGCTGAGACACTTTGTGGGCCAAACAAGCTGGCTCCAGGCCTTCTCCTCGCAGCTACCAAGAGAAGCAGGACTTTGTGTAGCCCAACATAACCCAACAAAAGACGAGTAGATGAGGCACTTAGGGACATGGTTTAGTGGGCATGGTGGTGTTGGGTCGACGGTTGGACTCGATGATCTTAGAGGTCTTTTCCAACCTCAATGATTCTATGATTCTATGATTCTATTCTATGTCCTGGGGAGGTGGCACTAGGATACTCAGAGGTGAAAACTTCCTCTGAAAGCAAAAGATGTGGGTCTTCCCTTAGTGGATGATAGAAAGGGAGGTACAGAGAGCTGGTGCCAGTGAGACACAAGAAAGCGGCAGCTAAACCCAGGAGGGGAAAGATGAATTGTATGAATGAAGCTAGCTGATGCACATGACAGCGGGAATACTAGGTGAGAACTTAGAATAGAGAGAAGAGGATTCGTTCCAGACAAACTGACCCCAGGGAACACTGATCCTCTGTGGAGCCTTGCAACCCTGGTCCATACTGACACAGATGCTGTGGATTGCACTGAAGAGGGCTTCCAAGAACTGTGAAGACAAGGTTTTGAAATATGTCAGAAAAAAGATTTTGTTTTAGCTAGAGTCTTTCTTGCTCAGGTACTCAGTAAAGAAGTGTGTAGTGGGGACTGAGACCAGTGGAGAGAGGTGATAGTGGTCAGCAGAAGACACTTAGGGAAGAAGATTGTTGAAGGAATGTTCGCCTGGCTGGCCCTCCTGCTTTCTGGCAATCACCCTTTTACAACTTTTCTACATAAGGACTGCATCTGGATCATCGAGTTTAATTGTGTATTTTCCATGAACTTGCCCGGTCACCTTTTTATTTGTTTTACATTTCTGGCCTCCAGAACATCCTAAGGCAGCAAGTCCCAGGTTGCAATTACGTGCTGTTTGAAAAGTCCTCATTGTTTGTTCTCAGCCTGCTGCCTGGTAGTTCACTGGATGTCCCTTATATCGTATCCAGTGAGAAATACCAGAGAATTACTTTCTTCTTTGTAATACTCATATTTTACTGTATTTTCCCTCAGTTGTCCCTCAGCATCTTAGTCTCAGGTATTTAATTTGGCATTCATTTTGGGCAATGAATTTCCTACTTTAGACATTTCTTCTCTTTTGTGTACTGTCAGAGCAGCTGGTTCATGAGAAGCATGTGTTTAATTCTGAGTCTTAGGCTTTGTGCATATAGATAGTACAATTGCATTAAAACATAGCTTGTCAGACCAAAGATGATAGTCTTCATCACCAGTGTATCTAGAGATCTGTTCAAACGTCAGTGACGCACTGTACGTAGTAAAAATAACAAAACTGTCTGTGTTCACATTTAGATGTATTCACTTATGTGTTTTTTCCTTTTTTTTTTTTGTTTGATTTTTTGTTTCCCAGAATTTGCCTCGAAGTTAGAGCAGGTTGTTTAGACTCTGACCCTATCGTACTGCTTGATAAATTCTTTTCTCCTAGGCGTGGGTATTTGCACTCTCCATAGCTCTGGCAGGCAAAGCAGCATGCATGTGCCAGACACTCCTTATATCTCTTGGCTCTCTCCCAAAGAGCTGCTTGTGTGATGCTCCCTGCCCCCTATGATTTTGGGGTTTGCATGGGAGTCATTGGTGACAAATTGTAAGCACAGTACTATTTCAGTTAGTTCAAACAAATTGACCAAGTGTTTTATTTCTTAGGCATGTGAAAGCTGGAACCGAACTCACGTGGGATTATGGCTATGAAGCTGGAAGCATGCCAGAGACAGAGATTTCTTGTCAGTGTGGAGTTCAGAAGTGCAGGAAAAAAACCTTATAGGCAAAGCCTTCCTAGGGTCAACACATCATGTACCTGGAGATTTATATGCTGGAAGGGACTACTACACATCGAACTGTACACTTAAGTCTGTGGTGCTAATTACATTCAACGAAAATGCCTTTCACCTGATCGTTTTTTAAATTTACATTTAAATGTCGCTTTTGTAGTTTGCAGAATTAGAACTGTTTGTCATAAGAGCAGGCATCAAACTTTTCCTAGATAATTTCTGTGCTCCTAGTCTTCCCCCCTTCCTTTTCATTCGCAAGCAAAGTTCACAGTGCACTGGAAGAACTCATGCTTCTGTGCCATTTGCAGCAGAGACACGACTGATGCAGCGCAATGGTTAGTTGATGTTTTCTGTGCCCTTCCACAATGCTGAGTTAGCAAAACGCAGTTTTCTGAAACTCATATGAATGCAAGTCTGCCTGTTTGGGGGCTAAGAAGTATTAAAATATACCTAAGCCCGATGGATCCAGTGAGACAGATAGTCCTGAACAGTGATGAGATTAATAAGAACAGCGTGCAGAGCTGTGTTCGTGCTACAGAGTGAGCTGGGCAAGTCCTGCTGCTGCAGGAGAGAAATGACTGTTTTTTGTTGGATTGCATCCCTCTCCATGTTTGTGACACACAGAGAAATCCTTGAGAAATCGAGTGTGCCTCATTACAGTGCCATATTGTGTAGTGTGGGACAGGTGGGCCACAGAAGTCCTTGCCATGTGGTTTGTTGGTAAGAGAGAAACAAGCTACATTAGGTGACACTGAGTGCAGATGCAGGAGGTGGCTCTGAAGTGGAGCAAGGGATGGGTGTGCAGGTGTGTGGCTTTTGAATGTGTTGGAGCCTTGTGCAAAGGTGGTGGTGTCGTGGACAGGCGATTTAGACCGCTTGAAGAACCACTGCCAAAGGTATCAGCAAAAGTGTTTTTACTGAAGCAAGGTGGTGTAAAAGTGAGACTTAACAAAGTTCTGTGGCAAGGTCACTCTGTTTACTTACTGCAGAGGATACAATAATGATTCAAAGTTACCAATACAAAATCTTAGTGCACTATAATACAAGGTTATGTGCGGTATTGGTCACTTACCAAAGATCTGCAGCTGGTAAGGGGTCTCTCAGCCTAGAGAAGTAGCCTTGGGAGGCGTCCCAGCACAAGGGGAGATCACCGCTGTGCAGCCAGCTGCTTAGCAGGGAGAGCTCAAAGGCGGCTCACTCAGGCTGTCATATTTATGGAATAAAGTGGTTGGCTTGTAGTCAAATGACATGCGATGGAAAAGGTAAGCATGAGACTCCTTGTCTTGACAACTTTCTTTGTTCCTTGATAAATGAGTCTTGGAAGAACCACCTGCTATTCATGCGTTAATCGCATGATCGGTGTTCCAGTTGCCAAGCCCATATGCACCAATGCTCCCCGTGTCACCCTGTTCCTGTGTGGGTTTTCAGACAACAGGTTGGAACTAGAGAAGTTCTTGGCCCGGTTATGGCCGAGGCCTTTACCTCCTTTGGAGCCTGAACCAAACTACTGCTAGTTTGGTCAAGGAGTTGAGCGCATCCGTCACAGGTGGATTTAAAGCTGGTCCTGCAGTTCACCTTACCTTTACTTCCTGAATTTGTGGCAGGCCGTGCATGGCAGATCATGCAGAATTGTCTGTTGGTATTTGCTCAGCCATTAGCAGATTTTGTCATTGGATTTCCTGTTTTACAGAGCAGAGAGAAGTACTATTTGCAAGAGTTAGTGATGATTTAGGCAATTGTATATGGGAATGAAATATGCCTGTCAGAGACTGCCATGGCCATGGAATAGAGATTTCAAGCCTGCAGCTATACCGCAAAATGAAAGAGAAGCAGGAACCAGTTCTTGGCCCTGAGGCCAAGAGGCGATGGATGGCTTACGTCCACATGGCTTAGGGTTAGTCCTCTTTTAATTGGGTTGCATCTCTGCTGTGTAACTGTGGACAAACATGGTACCCATGGCCCCAACCTGTTTTTTTAGTTTGTTTTGGATGCTTCAAGCTTAAAAAACATGGGGTTGTGCTGCAACAGACGGCCCTTTCACATTTCTCAACAGTCTCAGCATGCATGAGGAGTTTAAGCCTGTTAAAAATGGACCTTTAACAGAGATGTCAGACCTGTGAACTGTTCTGCTCACAATGAAACCTCAGCTCTTCTCTCCCATGGCCCTGTTTGAGAGCTTGGCATATCCATCAAGCAAACCCCTCCTCAGCTTTTGTCCCAGTCATCACACTACGGGTTTGTGTATGGTTTCATCATGCATCTTCAGGGCTAAATGCAGAAGAGCAGGGTTACCTGCAGTGTTGGTGCAGTACCCCTTCAAAGGGTCAGAGCCACCCACTCTTGTCCTGATCAGTCCCCTTCCACCCCTCTGTCACTGAGGAGCACCACCATGTTAGCAGCAGTCAGCATTCAGCTCAGTTGCTTCTTGCTTCATTGAAGATCTGTCTCTACTCAGAGGGAATATGCCTTAGGATAATGTCGTGCAATGTAAAAACCTCCAGAGACATGCCGAACTGCATGGCAAGCCCACTAGTAACCCAACACTGGTGCAAGCCTTTTAAACAAGTGAGGATGTGGAAAATACCTGTCTCCAAGCTCAATTTGAATGTGGAAAAGCAGATGGGAATGTCATTAAAGCATCAAGGGGGGGGAAAAGTACATTTTACTGCCGGTGATTGTATTTCCCAGGTTGGTGGTATGAATTACGGTACTGAGCTGATGAGGAAAAGCTCTGTTTCTTGTTGCAGAAAACAGACCTGATGTTTCAAAAGATAAAGCACTTACTTGCTCTGTGTGGTCTGCAACTATCCCAGAGCCTGCTGTCAGCGTGAATTTTACAGTAGGTATGTGTATGAGACGGGTCTTTTTTGGCTAGTTGTGTTTATCAGGTCTGTCTTCAGGCTGAAGCTTCTTCATTCTCCTCCTCCACGTGAGGATACACTAGATATAGCGGTTGCAACCCAGCTTCTAGTCCCTTCGCAGTCTGATGTTTTCACTGCTTGTGAATCCAGTGTACCAGACCAGAGATCATAACCTATCCTCTTGCAAACTTACCTTACAAGTTATGTTTTCCACCTGTTCTTGTGATTTTATTAGAATGGGTTCTGCTGAAGGTGGCTGGCAAGTATCCTCTGCAAATAATGGCTGTGCCAGTTCAATAGACATTGTGAGAGTGCTCATCTGAACTTGCTCTCTGCTCAGCTATCAGTTCCTCTGCTTGTCCTTACACAGCTCAGAGATGGGCGTATTTCTGAACGTAGCCCCTTGTGCCACCCGTGCTTTAGCAGAGTATCACATGAAAGCATCGAACACAAGCACCGACGGAAGAATAGGAGGAAATGTTCCAAGTGAAACACTCAAAAGTGCCTCTGGACTGACACATTTGGGACTTCTTGTCAGCATGTCAGGGGTATCAAAAGAGAAGAAGAGTGCCTGATGGGAATTAGTGGCATTGAGGCGTGAGGCAGAGCTTTGGAGATGCCCTGAAATCACAGTTTCTATTGACCTGCAGGGAACCGTAGGTTTTACAACACTGAGGACCAGCAGAGGGCAATTCTGAAACAAATTTAGGCTTTTTCAGGGTGGTACCTTGTTCCTGTGAAATGGTGTGGTCCAGCCATGCAGTGTGGACATTGCTGACTCCTATGGTGAGCAGGACTGTCCCAACGGAGAGACAGTAGGGATATGAGGACATATAAGGGCACCATGACCTACAGGGAAATAAATATTAGTGCCCAAGGTGAGCATACAAATGCAAAGACAGTTGAAGATCACCTGTGGCATAGGTATAAAAGAAACTGGACTGGAGCACATTATACTGATAATCTTTTTTTGCCAAAAAATTACTGAGCACTAATTTCCAGCTCCACCTATTTCAGCAGAACTCTATGGCTCTGTAGAGCAGGGGTTTGGAAGAAGAGATCACAAGGGACTTGCAGTTGGTTTTCCTCCACAGAAAATTATTTTTTCTGTACTGAAGAAGAGATTTGTGTTGGGAAAATTTTCCTAGTTTAAGACTTAAGCACCTTTGAGGGTGCTTGAATCCAGCTGACTCATTCAAGTACCGTCTAGATAATAGAATTGGGAATTGGTGGTGTGTAGCAGCATCTGGCTAATAGATGCAATCTAATTGCAAGCCCGGGCACAGGGGCTGGCTGACCTTAGCTCTGAAAGGCTGCATCTGGACAGGCGCAAAGGGATCTGGGAAACCAGCTGGCATAATGCCAGCAGTGCTGAAAAGCCAAAGCTGTCCTAGCTGGTAAAGGGAACTGTGTTTGGTGTGCCCTCCTGACGGGCCAGAACGTGCCTGTTACGTTGTGGCTGGTGAGCTGCATGGGGGTGGAAATCTAGGGTTTGTTTAATTATCCCATGCAATGCAGGGGAACTTCATGTAGGCCTAAGCCTTGGTCTCACTGGCACGATTTTGCCTTAAGCCTTGAGTCGCTGATGTTCAAAGAGCTTGCAGAAACATTGCACCCTTATGAAGGAGGAAGAGGAAATATCTCGGTGGTATGTGTTGTGTTGAGAGCTGCAGAGCAACGAGCTTCTCCCAGTATTGCTTATGCTTTGCGGTTAGCTGGTGTGCACTCATCATCCGTTTACATGGGCAGCGGGCAGCTGGAGGGGATCAGCCTATGTGTGAACCATCAGGCTTACGAGCAAGGCAGCACCAGGAAAGGCCTGCAGCGAGGAACTGGCACGGTAGGAAGTCTTATATCCCTGGTTGTCCGAGGACAAGCCTGTCTTTGACCTCCTGACCAAGGAAAGTGCTGACTAGCGGCACTGGAACGGTCTGGTCCTTCATGTGCTGGGTGAGCACCGTGATGGCCGGGTATGAAGCCAGTGCGCTACAGCAACTGCCTCCTCCTCCACCATGGAGGGACCGACTTAACAAAGGTCCTGATGGCTGCGAGAGGCACACCGCCTTGTCCTGGCCTTTCCTGCCCATCTCTTGAATCGGCTGCTTGGTCAGGTGTCATCCTGCCAGCCCCACATTGGGCACCCATCGCAACCTACCCATCACATCGGGCCCCTCACATGTTGTCCCCCTGTCCTGGTTAAGGGACGAGCAAAAATGAACGGGGGGCGATGGGAGGATGCAGGACGCCCCCTTTCCTGTGGGTAAATCCCTTGGGAAATGGCTGCCTGACGGCAGCCATCGGGATTGCCGGGCGCGGGTATCGAACCGGCG